GTGTGTGTGTGTGTGTGTGTGTGTGTGTGTGTGTGTGTGTGTGTGTGCACGCACATGCAAAATAAGATCCTAGTCTCTAAATCAAGTAAACCACAATGATTTTAAATGCTGAATAGGAAGAAATATTGTAGAGCTGAGCCCTCTTAAATGTATGCCTGTTAAAGGAGTGAACGTATTTAAAACGTAGACATCAAAAGGTTCATTGATCTTTTAAAATCATGCATCTGCTAAATTATTTTTTATATAATCCATTAAAGAGCATAATTCACTGAAACAGATATGTTATTAAAAGGAAATAGACCTCTTTAAAGGAAAACAGATTTGATAAAACAAGCAAATCCATTTACAGGTTTCTGCTATAGTAAAACCCAAGCACACTGACTGGAGACTGGAAAAAGAGAGAGCATCCCACAGTTCTGCCTCTTATATCATTCAGAAAACTTTTGGATGTACTAAATAATCTTTCCTTGTCTATAAGTGAGAGTGCATATATTGTCTCTGAAAAGGTAACCCAAAAGTACAGCTAGACTATGCATACATTAACAAATTTACCTATAATTCATCATTAGTCCAGCTCAGGGTGTTTTTACCATGTTTAACTTTCTCTGAAGGTTTGTCTAGGGCAACTTGCCACTGGTGTAACTTCTGGTGCAAACTCTTAATGTAGAGACACCGCATTGGTGCTAAACAGGGCTTTCACTGGTGTGATTTACCTTAGTAAGTTACCAGTCCAGTGTACCTACGTTAGGACTTTGCACTGGTGTAGTTATACCTATGCAAATTTCCCTAATCCAGACAAACCCTAGCTACCACCATTGGATCTGCCATAATGGTGGATTAAAGCTACAAAATGTGCTAGTGTGAACAAGACCCTAGAGATTCTGAATCTGCAATTCTGAACAATTTCATGAGTTTGGCAAGAAATGTCAGCCTGTCCAAAACCATTTTATATATAGACTCCTGATTTAAAATTTTCTTTTTAAGTTTGGGGTAACCTACCAAAAGTATGGTTATATTACTAAAGTATTGTAGTCACTGGTACATGAGTAAATGGGCTAGCTAGTTACGTTATGTAAGGAATATCTATTTCCTTAACACTTTTATGTGTAGCTATTACACTAAATAGTAACAGATCATAGAAAAGAAATCAAAATCACTGGTGTATTGTCAGCCAAGCAGCATCAAAAGCAGCACTAAAAAGTCAATATTAAATATGCTAGTGTATATATAGTATGTAACATATTTAACTTCCCGATTTGTTTCTTTGTTGCAGTCCAAAGCCATGAATTTGTATGAGGCCTGCCTGACTCTACTTCAAGTATATTCCAAGAATAATTTAGGTCGGCAGCGAATAGATGTTACAGCAGAAGAGGACCAATACCAGGATCTTCTTCTTATTATGGAGCTTCTTACTAACCTTCTGTCAAAAGAATTTATAGATTTCAGTGATACAGGTATGAAGGAATTGGAGATGAAAAGCTTCAGGTATTGGTGAACTACTCTGGGTGGTTTTGAGCAAAAATGATTGGCTGCAAAATAAGCTAATTTTCTTTTGAGGCATTATCTTACATTGATTTTTTTTTAAAAACTAGCAAAACTATTGTGGCGAGAGAGAGAACTAATTATCCAAGTAATATAAGAGTGGAGATTAGAGATTCTAGTTTCCACATTCTGAGATAGCATTTAATATTCAGACTCTGGTAGCTGAGGGAAGAATGCATATAATTCATGGGCCATTGTTCTTGTTGCATTGTTTGTATACTGAACAACTTGAAATCTGAACTAGAACAAGCTACTAATCTGGAAATAAAGCAATGGTAGTTATCAAAAACAAGGTCAATTAAATCAGAATTAGGATATAGTTTAAAACAGAGACATTTCAGCATGTGATAGAAGAGCTTGATTCTGAAATGTCTCTGTTTTAAACTATACCCTGATTCTGCAGCACTTCAGGGGGATGTGTAGATGCTCAGCAATTCGCAGAGCAGGCGCTGTGGTATGTAGTTATGGTTTAGTTAAGTTTTCTCTTGTATATCCCAGTCTTTTTTTTCTTCATGATCTCTGCTATTTAAAATTGAATCAGTTGAAAACCTGATATGCCAGATATAATTTAACTATATTGAACAGTTTTTTAGATAAGCTAAAAAATGTAAACCCAATGTTCAAGCTTTACCAAGTCCTAGAAAGTTCTGTGCAGAAGGCACAGAACAAAAGGAAATTGTATCTATCTATCCAGGTATTTATATTAATTATTATTATATATTTATTATTAATTTATAAATCTGGCCTCTTGCATAAAAATGAGACACTTCAGTATGTCTGATCTCTCCTTTTACATTTAATATGTTAACAGTAAAGGTTTATATGTTTTCTATAGATGAAGTATTTAGAGGACATGAGCCAGGACAAGCTGCAAATAGATCGGTGTCAGCAGCAGATGTAGTCTTATATGGGGTTAATCTAGTTCTGCCATTAATGTCACAGGATCTGCTGAAAGTAAGTATATTTTAACATATATGTACGGTATATACGTGCGCGCACATAATAAATGTGGAAACTTCTTATAAAGATATATAAGCTTTTAGATGGTTTCTAAACTTTGAAGTTGTTAGAGCGGTTTATGTAGCCTGGCAGTTAAATACAATGCATTTTCTAGGGTTTATTTTACTGTATATGCAAGGAATTTTTCTCTGGCCCCTGAGAACCTAAGAAGAGAGTTATACATGGAGGACCTAGACAAAGTTTGTCCTTTTTTAAAAAGTCAGTCCTGCCACAAGTCTTCTTATTTTGAATTGAGTTGAGATTTTATCATAGAATTCAAAAAAGGATTAGACATTTATATGGAGAATGAGAATATTTACTGTAACATTAGATAGGATAGAAAAGGATCTAAATCTTCATGCTGCATGGCATAAATCAACAACTAATTGATGGGGGATAGGAAGAAACTTGCTCTATAGGCAGGTTATTCCATAATTGCCTACTGTGTGGTTTCATGCACTTTCTTGGGCAATGCATTATGATCTAAAAAGTGTCTGCATTGCTCTTCATTCACTTGTCAGCTTTCTCTCCCATCGTGGGTCCTTTCTCCTGTGGCTTTTCTTTTGTCATTTGCCTCGTGAAAGTTTGATTTTTTTACTTTGCTCTTATCCATATTTGACAATTATTAAAACTATTCACATTTTGAAAAACACATAATATTATATATTTTGCATTTGTGATTGATCGTTACTTTTATATTTCTTTACTAGGATAATGCTGATTTTTTCTGGGGGGGGCAGGGGGATGCGTTTTAAGGCTTTCATGTCATATGCATAGCTCTTGTATATGACCAGAAAAATCAAATGAATGGAATGGCAATATGCTGAGGACCGTAACATTGAAGTTTGTATCTGCTAATAATTACCTTTCTTTTCAGCAGAGTGCATCAGTCTCAGTCCTGTCTCTTTGTTCCACAGAAATTTAGGAGCAGTATTAAAACAGAACTGTTTGAATCTAAAATTCCCAATATATTTCTTTTGACAGTTTCCATCTCTGTGTAATCAGTACTACAAATTAATCACCTTCATCTGTGAGATATTTCCTGAGAAAATTCCTCAGCTTCCAGAAGACCTTTTTAAGAGCCTAATGTACTCATTGGAGTTAGGGATGTCGTCGTATCCTTTACAATGAATGGGTGTCCAACTTAAAAATGCCTTTCCGTGTGTGTGTGTGTGTGTGTGTGTGTGTGTGTGTGAAGAAATTTAGAAATTTTAACTTTCTTTACTTTTTTCTATTTTTTCCTTCTGTTTATCTCTGCTTATATAATAGTAGTGTTATAGTTGTTTTCCTCTCTCAATTTTGCCCTTGCATTCTGTTTTATTATTATTGGAGTTATTGGAATGTCAGCTGAGTTTCTAGCCTTAACTGAATTTAATTAGACCCATAACATTTCTTTAATGTAGCATTTAAGTGGTTTAATGTGTGTGTGTTCTTGCTGGCAACTTCTATTGCCTCCTCCCTACTATTTCATCTCACAGAAAATCTGATTTCATAAGCCTTCAGGTGGTATCCCAAAGCTATTCCTGAATTAGTTTCTCAGCTGGTAATGCAAAATACTACTGCTGTTCTACTGGGCTGGCTCCAGAGTATTTCCTGTCATATTGCCAGTGGGCTCTCCCTTTATAATAGGGAGTACCATTTTCACTAACCTACAGCAGGTGTCAAAAACAGATGAGAAGCTTGGCCATAAGGGACTGTTTCTGAAAATGTCAGGTCACAGATGACAGAACTATTTTACAGTGTAAAAGCCAATAAAAGAGGACAACAAAGATGCAATAGATTCCTATCTTTTTGTTAAAGCACTCTAGTAAAAATAAATAAAGTCCTGGGACATGTGCTCATTAAAACATTTTCTAATGATGCTGTTTAGAAATTTACCACAACTTAAAAAGAAAATCTGACTTATTCTTTGATGCTTTTTCTTTGACACTTCGATTATCAGGATGAGTTCTGAGGTTTGCCAACTCTGTCTGGAAGCTTTAACACCATTAGCAGAACAGTGTGCAAAAGCACAGGAAACAGACTCATCACTATTTCTAGCAACAAGGCACTTTCTTAAGGTAAAATGTCTATTTGCAAATTACGCTGCCATATTTTGTTATTTGTATTACAGTGGTTTCTAGAGGCCCCAACTGAGATCAAGGCCCCATTAGACTAAGCACTATACGAACACAATATAAGAGACGGTCCTTGCCCTAAAGAATTTAGTCTATTAAGACAAGACCGACAAAAGGTATAAGGGGAAATAGAGGCACAGAGAAGAGAAACAACTTGCCCAAAGTCATGCCAAATCAGTGGCAGACCTGGGACTTTTCAGTCAGTAGCTCATGTTTTTGTGTTATGTGCCTGGGCTTCAAAATGAAACTTAAAGGACTTTAGTAAGAATCACTGTGAAGTCTGAGTAGATGACACAAAGAACTAAAACAGAATGGGCAAGGTTGCTTGTAAGCTGAAGGATGGAGTGGACAAGAAGCAACAGGAATAGGTAGGGAAAATGGAATAGATGATTACTAAAACAAGAAAAGAAGAGGATGCTGCTCTGGTTGGTCTTCTATTTAAAGAAAATTACATAGGTTCTCAATCCAGTGTCATGTTAAGTGTCTACTGTTCTGGACTATCTGCTCCATCTTGTTTAGCTGGGTCTTAGTGTAAATTGGGAGCAGCCAATTGCCTCTAGCCATGAGCTGGCTGGTAGGAAAATCTGTGTGCTTAACCCCGGGTTAAATGTTTAATGAAAAATCTCTTACCTTACTCTTTCAGCACAGACTAAGTCTTGCTTGGAATCTTAATTTTCTCATAGCAGGCTCATTGACATCAGTCCGGCTGAGAGAGTGAACAACGAGCCTTAAATAAAGTTTGATAGAGCTGGACGTACTTGTTTTTTCAATCCCTTCTCTAAATTTCTACCTTAAATTCTCTGACTTCCACCCCCTTCAGTCATTCCCTCACCCACTTAGTTTTCATTGAACCTTAGGATTCTCCAAAGTCACAACATCTTTCACAGACCTGATGAATGGGTTCCCCATTTTATTCTGGAAGAGCAAAACCTTTCATTTATTCTTCTCCTTGTTTGTAGAATCATAAAAATGTAGGTCTAGAAGGGACCTTGTGAGGTCATCTAGTCCAGTTTGGTGTGCTGAGCTAGGACCAAATATACCTAGGCCATTCCTGGCATGTGTTTGTCTAACCTTTTCTTAAAAACCTCCAATGATGGGGATTCCACAACCCTCCCTTTGAATCCTGTTTCATGCTTAACTATTCTTATACTTAGGTTTTCCTAATATCTAACCTAAAACTCCATTGCTGCACAGTAAGCCCATTGCTACTTGTCCTACCATCAGGAGACACGAAGAACAATTGATCACTGTCCCCTTTATAACAGCCCATATATATTTGAAAACTGTTATTGGGTCCCCCCTCAGTCATTTTAAACATACCCAGTTTTTGAATCTTTCCTCTCTTGTATCATAAAATTAACATATAAATAAAAGATCATTTATGACTGTTACAAATTAAGAGAATATTAAGAGTGTTTAATTTTTGTGAAGACAAGGACATGGTTATCCTACAGTTTGCACCTTTTACAGTGTTTGTTGGTATGTCAGTGTACCTCTTAATAGACAGTTAATTCACAATAGAATCTATACTCCTCTTTCTATTTGTTCAAGAAAATGTAGTGTTTCTCCCCTTTTCTAATAATCAAATCTTCTCCTCAGAAAATCCCCATTGTAAGCTAATGTACCAAAAAACATTTCCAAAGACAAACTTAGTAAATATGCCCTTTTCACTGTAAAGAAGTCACATTTAAATAACACAGTAATAGTCCTCCGATGTCTTCTAGCTCTAAAAGCATAAACTATAAATATTTCCAGAAATCCTTATTCAATAACTCATATTCTCCCCAGATCCATAAAGGACTTAGACTTGTTTCAGGAAGCGGTCTTCAATAGGTCTGCTCCTTTTAGCTTCCTAAACAAGATTTCCCCTTCTACTTTGTTACATAGTGGCAGCCTAACAGTCTGCATTTTAGATAATTAATTTGTTTTATCACTTCAGATGGTCTTTGATATGCTGGTACTACAAAAGCACAATACAGAGATGACAACTGCAGCAGGTGAAGCATTCTACACATTAGTGTGTTTGCATCAGGTATGGTGTTATTTTCCCATTTTTAAACAATGTTCAAAAGCTATTTTGCACGCAGAATAATGCTAAGGTTACTGGTATACCTAGTTGAAATGAAATAGTTATAGGACAGTATTTGGCAGCAATTAATTATTTTTCCTGTGCAAGTAAGACATAGGAAGAAACTTAAATAATATCAGAAGAGGTAGGATTTTCAGTTTATATGCCTTTCCCTCGGTACGTGGCTTCATTGTAGTCAATCTTTACTTGTTCCCTATTGATTTTTCATTAGCATTTTGACAGATCTATATTATTCCATGAATGTTCACCATGTCATCCAGCATCTTTGTAGAACCAAAATGTATCAAATTTGCTGATCAGATTTTTGCCAATACACGTTGTAGAGCTGTGAAGCAAATTTAACTCCAGAGGGACTTCTGTCCTGGCTTCCATAGTTGGAATGGTTGTTAAAATTAAATAAGGGTCTGATTAATTTTATTTCTAGATATGTATTAACTTAATGGTTCTAGGAATACAATAACACATGTGCCTAGAGTGGTTCTGTGGAAAATTTCTTATCTTCCACACTACAAATTTGTCCCATATTAACTTTTTTAAATCACTATACAAAGACTTGTATTACTTAGGTTTTATGGCTCCCCCTGTGCTCACATTGACATAAATCCAGTTTTCTTGAAACACCTTTCTATGGAAAAAAATGTTCTGCCGTTCTCATGTTGTCTGTTTAGCCTGTTACTCCTTTCTTCTGCTCCCACCTTCCTTAAGGTCAGAAGTCTAGGTTTTTCTCTCATGAGTATCCAGCAGTTCTTGTCTCTTCAAACAGTTGCTAAATCAGTTTTGGAATCTTACAGCTGGGGTCAAATTGAGAGGGCGGGAAAAAAAGGTGATGGTTCTTCGAGTGGTTGCAGACGTAGTCCACTCAAGTGTGTTTACACTTAGCTCGCTAGGAGCTGGAGACTTTTCCCCTTGCAGCAGTACCCACTGTGGCAGTGTGCACATCCTGCACCTCCTTGTGGCCCCTCTTGAGGCTACATAAGGATGGCGGTGCACCAATCCCTACCCTATTCCTTCTTACCACCAGTGGCTTAAGTCTGAGCTCCCTCTGCAGTTCTCTCCTCACAATTTATTTCCTGTGTCACAGCTACTTACTGAGAGTTGGTAGTGTAAATAGTTAGTAGCAGTTAGTACCAGTCGTGTAGTGTAGTGTAACATTAGTTTAGTTAGTTGTAGTAGGTTATGCAGCATTCTCCGAGTTTTAAGCACCAGGCATCATGTGCGGCCTCTATTCCTTATAGTGACCTGCACACATGCTGCTTACTGTGTCTTGGTGAGGAACACATTATGGTAAGGAGCAGTATCTAATGTTCATTGAAAAAGTTAAAACTGATTTTCAGAGACCTTCAGTTGAAACAGCACCTGATGGAACAGGCTACAAAGCCTGTCTTGGCACCAGGGTATTCGTTGGATCGTTCGGCCAGCCATTCTCTGACACCGTCTACTTCTATGGTAGTTCCAGTGGACCCCTGGACTCTGATTCTACCCCAAGAATCATAGAACCATAGAATATCACGGTTGGAAGGGACCTCAGGAGGTCATCTAAATCATCCCAGCCAGGGCTTTGTCAAGCCGGGCCTTAAAAACCTCCAAGGAAGGAGATTCCACCACCTCCCTAGGTAACCCATTCCAGTGCTTCACCACCCTCCTAGTGAAATAGTGTTTCCTAATATCCAACCTAGACCTCCCCCACTGCAACTTGAGACCATTGCTCCTTGTTCTGTCATCTGCCACCACTGAGAACAGCCGAGCTCCATCCTCTTTGGAACCCCCCTTCAGGTAGTTGAAAGCAGCTATCAAATCCCCCCTCATTCTTCTCTTCTGGAGACTAAACAATCCCAGTTCCCTCAGCCTCTCCTCATATGTCATGTGCTCCAGACCTCTAATCATTTTTGTTGCCCTCCGCTGGACTCTTTCCAATTTTTTTCACATCCTTCTTGTAGTGTGGGGCCCAAAACTGGACACAGTACTCCAGATGAGGCCTCACCAATGTCGAATAAAGGGGAATGATCACGTTCCTCGATCTGCTTGCAATGCCCCTACTTATACAGCCCAAAATGCCGTTAGCCTTCTTGGCAACAAGAGCACACTGTTGACTCATATCCAGCTTCTCGTCCACTGTGACCCCTAGGTCCTTTTCTGCAGAACTGCTACCTAGCCATTCGGTCCCTAGTCTGTAGCAGTGCATAGGATTCTTCCGTCCTAAGTGCAGGACTCTGCACTTGTCCTTGTTGAACCTCATCAGGTTTTTTTTAGCCAAATCCTCTAATTTGTCTAGGTCCCTCTGTATCCGATCCCTACCCTCCAGTGTATCTACCACGCCTCCCAGTTTAGTGTCATCTGCAAACTTGCTGAGAGTGCAGTCCACACCATCCTCCAGATCATTAATAAAGATATTAAACAAAACTGGCCCCAGGACCGACCCTTGGGGCACTCCGCTTGAAACCAGCTGCCAACTAGACATGGAGCCATTGATCACTACCTGTTGAGCCCGACGATCTAGCCAGCTTTCTATCCACCTTACAGTCCATTCATCCAGCCCATACTTCTTTAACTTGGCGGCAAGAATACTGTGGGAGACCGTATCAAAAGCTTTGCTAAAGTCAAGGAATAACACATCCACTGCTTTCCCCTCATCCACAGAGCCAGTTATCTCCTCATAGAAGGCAATTAGGTTAGTCAGGCACGACTTCCCCTTGGTGAATCCATGCTGACTGTTCCTGATCACTTTCCTCTCCTCTAAGTGTTTCATAATTGATTCCTTGAGGACCTGCTCCATGATTTTTCCAGGGACTGAGGTGAGACTGACTGGCCTGTAGTTCCCCGGATCCTCCTCCTTCCCTTTTTTAAAGATGGGCACTACATTAGCCTTTTTCCAGTCATCCGGGACCTCCCCCGATCGCCATGAGTTTTCAAAAATAATGGCCAATGGCTCTGCAATCTCATCCGCCAACTCCTTTAGCACCCTCGGATGCAGCGCATCCGGCCCCATGGACTTGTGCACGTCCAGTTTTTCTAAATAGTCCTGAACCACTTCTTTCTCCACAGAGGGCTGGTCACCTTCTCCCCATACTGTGCTGCCCAGTGCAGTAGTCTGGGAGCTGACCTTGTTCGTGAAGACAGAGGCAAAAAAATCATTGAGTACATTAGCTTTTTCCACATCCTTGGTCACTAGGTTGCATCCCTCATTCAGTAAGAGGTCCACACTTTCCTTGACTTTCTTCTTGTTGCTAACATACCTGAAGAAACCCTTCTTGTTACTCTTAACATCTCTTGCTAGCTGCAACTCCAAGTGTGATTTGGCCTTCCTGATTTCACTCCTGCATGCCTGAGCAATATTTTTATACTCCTCCCTGGTCATTTGTCCAATCTTCCACTTCTTGTAAGCTTCTTTTTTGCGTTTAAGGTCAGCAAGGATTTCACTGTTTAGCCAAGCTGGTCGCCTGCCATATTTACTATTCTTTCTACACATCGGGATGGTTTGTTCCTGCAACCGCAATAAGGATTCTTTAAAATACAGCCAGCTCTCCTGGACCCCTTTGCCCTTCATGTTATTCTCCCAGGGGATCCTGCCCATCTGTTCCCTGAGGGAGTCAAAGTCTGCTTTTCTGAAGTCCAGGGTCCGTATTCTGCTGCTCTCCTTTCTTCCTGAAGAGAAGAGAAAGGGCTTGTTCACCTTCCCCAGAAGACCCATAAAACTAATCAGCGCCATCAGAAATCAAAGAGAAATTGATCGTCCTCTTCATCCAGAAAAGGCTGTCAGCGACATCAAGACCCATCAACCTATGTCTCCCCGGTAACGAGGTGGGAGGATCCTGGTACCGTACCGTTGACTCGAGAGAGAGAGCTATCAAGTCCATTACCTACGGATGTCAGAGTATGCTGTCTGGCACTGTTCCTTTTGGTACCTATCACCTCGCAAGCCTTTGACAGCATCAGATTTATTCTTCTTAGAGTGCTTGCTCATATCGATTCCTGTTTGAAGTGCCTGGAGGAATCCCATCAATCAGATAAGTGCCACGTTTGTAAGGCACGCAAGCCTCGGACTAAAAAGGAGCGGGACTTTCGCTTGAAGCAGCTCCTTGTGGAAGCGGCACTTAGCCCAATGTCTTCGGCTCCGTGCCGAGACCTGGCCCCGTCGGTCCAAAGCGCGCCTCCGGCACTGGAAACAACAGCTTCACGACCCGGCACCGGCAAAGACTCCCGGCACTGGACGTCTCCAGCACCGCTACCAGCACGGCACCGCTCGCTGTCTCTGGGACCCAAGAAGCAGCACAAGCAACCTGCTGCTCCTGTACAGTTGCCGGCACCGCCTGTGCCCCCCTTGGAGCAGTGTCCCGTGCCGGACCGCCCCGCGAAGGCTCCGGCACCGTCAATTCCGGTGCCACAAGCGCCGTTGAGTCTGGTGCACATAAGCTCCCCGATGCGTACTGCGGTTGAGCTTGGCCTACCTTCCACCCCGGAGACTTTCTCCACGGCACGCAACCTGATTGCGCTCACTGAGCCAGGACTGTCACAACCTTCGGTACCGCTGGTGCGGGCTGTTCCCTCAAAAGGGAAGCCCTCCATGATGCGCCCTCTGTCGCAGAGCGAGATGGGTCGGCACTGATCCCGGTCCCAGTCCAGGTTCGCAGTCCTGATCCAGACATTGGTCTTCTCCATGGCACTGCTTGCAGTCCCGGCACCGATCACCATCTCGGTGCCGTTCGCACTCGCGGTGCCGCTTCGCCTCACGAAGATCTTCCCGGTATGGTCGGTACCGACCCTGGCGCCGATCTACTTGGAGTCGATCCCAGCACCGCCCCGCCTGTAGATCTTCGTCGAGATCCAGATCTGCCTCCCGGCACCGATACGACCATTGGTCCCGATCCAGGTCGCGGTACCGCTCGAGACCGCGGTGCCGATCTCCATCTGCGCGGTGCGAGGCGACAGGGCAGGACAGTGCGACC